TGTGTTATCAAGCCCACAAGAACAACAACTCTCAGAAACTGCTAGCTGTGAAGCAATTTTACATAAGATGGAATCAAAGTGGATCCTTGGATAAATTATACTTGCTTGATCACTTTGATTTAAAAACAACTATTTCTTCTCTCTGAGTTTATTATGTAGACTATAACACAGGAAACCATGTTCTCATAAGAGATCTCTGTTTATTTTCTCAGGAACAGACCAGCTAATCTGAATTCCTCAAAACTCTTATGCTGTTTTACTGACCAGATAAGTCAACATACTTCCACATAAAGTCTGAATTATGAAACAGTATAAAACTATGGATTCAACTAAACAGGATTATAATTTTGGTAATTTTTTATATCAACAGTAATTGTTTTCTATTAATTAAACATAATTTTAAAGATCTTTAGTTAATGATAAGATTTTAGACTGTTATTGAGTTAATTAATGATTTATCTTTGGATATCTGAATAATTTCTAATAATATGTAATACTGAAACATTGGTCAGTGTTATGGATTGAATTGTGTACCAAAAATAAGATATATTGAAGCCCTAACCCCCAGTACCTGTAAATGTGACCTTGTTTGGAAATAGGGGTTTTTGAAGGCGTTATTAGTTGAGTAAACATGAGGTTGTACTAGAGTAGGGTGAGCCCTAATCCAATATGGTGCCCTTATAAGAAAAGATCCACAATCGATGTCCATGGAAGCAGCAGTTAAGAAATCAAACGACATATTGCATCAGGCAAATTTGCTGCAAAAGACCTATTTAAAGTGTTGAAAAACAAAGATGTCACTTTGAGGACTAAGATGCGCTTGACCCAAGCCATGGTGTTTTCAATTGCTTCATATGCATGCAAAAGCTGGATAATGAATAAGGAAGACCAAAGAAGAACTGATGCCTTTGAATTATGGTGTTGGTGAAGAATATTGAATATACTATGGACTGGCAGAAGAACAAACAAATCTGTCTTGGAAGAAGTACAGCCAGAATGTTCCTTAGAATGGAGGATGGTCAGACTTCATTTCACATACTTTGGTCATGTTATGCGGAGGGACTAGTCCCTGGAAAAGGACATCATGCTTGGTAAAGAAGAGGGACATTGAAAAAGAGGAAGACCCTCAACAAGATGGATTGACACAGTGGCTGCAACAATGAGCTCCAACACAGCAATGATTGTGAGGACGGCGCAGGACCTGGCAGTGTTTCGTTCTGTTGTACACGAGGTCGCTGTGAGTCGGAACTGACTTGACAACACCTAACAACAACAACATAAGAAGAGGGGAAGCTAGCCACAGAGGGAAGATGGCCGTGTGAAGATGAGGGAGATATTGACGTGATGCAGCTACAGTCTAAGGAATGCCAAGGATTGCCAGGAACCACCAGAAGCTGAGGGACAAGGAAGAATCTTCCCCTAGAGCCTTCAGAGAGAGCATGGCCCTACAAACACCTTGATTTAGGATTTCTGGCCTCCAAAACTGTGAGACAATAAATGTCTGTTATTTAAAAAAAAAAAAAAATAATGCTTCTTAGTCCATAAAACTTAATTGGAAATGAAGGAAGTTAATGATTGTATTCTCTCTCTTTGTTTCTCTCTCACTTTCTTCCCTGTCTTTCATCTCTCAATCTCCCTCTAAAATTTGACTTTACTTAGTAAGTTTTATTAAAACCATTGGGTTTCCTCCTTGTGGTCCGTGTAGCACAGTGATAAATAAAAGCAGTATTCATACAAGGTCAAAAAAATTGATCAGTGACTGTATGGTTTCAAAAAGCCCAAGCCATATTCTTGATGATCAAATATTATTACTTTCCAACCCGGAGTGTTAATATTCTGAAGACAAATTTATAGAGATACACAAAATGTAGGTCTTTAGAGAGGCAAGAGCATTCTTCCTTTTTATATCATCCTGCATATGATTCTCTTTTGTGCCTGTTAATATCCTTCCCCATTCACATACACACAGTCACATATACACATGCACACACACACCAATTGTGAGAGAAATGTTATTAAGTAGGAAACACAATTAAGAATAAGAGAACTCTAACACTTTTGGAATAAAATTCTGAGTTTCAGACTTATGCAATTCAATATGTCAACACTTGTTTTCTTCCCTTTTTCATGATCAAGAGAAGAAAAAACCAAAAACAAACCCATTGCTGTCCATCAATTCCAACTTATACTGACCCTATAGGACATAGTAGAACTGCCCCATAGAGTTTCCAAGGAGCACCTGCTGCATTTGAACTGCCAACCCTTTGGTTAGCAGCTGTAGCTCTTACCACTACACCACCAGGGTTTCCATATCAAGAGGAGTCACTTGCAATTATAAAAGCAGGGGGAAGTTCGGGGGTAGGGGTGTAGATTGTGTTCTAGATCAGCTAATTGCAATGCTACTGAAATGCTCCTTACCCCCAAACATATTGGGGAGGGAGGGGGAGTTGTCCAATGATTAGCAACTGCTCTCAAAGAAAAGTAAATAAGTAAATGAAGCAAAAATATTTTCATCCACACAATATTCTCTTCAGAAGTTTCTCCATGGATTAATAAATTCCCTTTTAAAATATACATGCTCCCTCAGAAATGTTGTTGGTCACAAATTATTATGAACTATCTTAATTTAACTGGTAAATTTGAAGGCTATTTTTCATGACAAGGTAATAGAGCTTTCTATTTGTTAAAGAGAAAAAACAAAATTTTAGAAAAATTTTCAACAGCCGAAGGACAGCTCTAGGGAACTAACTGAGTCTGCCAAGTTAATGAATGACACCTGTAAGAAATTTAGAAGAAGATCCCTTAAAAAAATTCAAATTCAGTAAAGCAGACACAGAATACTGTCCAAATTCATTTTCATAATATAAAAGTCATGTGCAAAAAAATAAAATTCTTTCAAATATGCGGTAAGTCCAACTAACATGAAAATAGAAAGATATTCAGGATGCTCACTGGGGTCATAGAAAAGAATCAGGTATATATGTGCAATCATACATGTATACTTATAGGAAGTAGGAATAGGGAGCAATTTGAGAGTCACAAAAGGGAGTTGAGAAAGATGACTATAAACTAGGTAGCTGTGAACTTTATTTCCAGGACTCTATACCTCTGATAAGCAGAGAGACAAAGGTGAAAAGAACTGCTGAGTAAATATCAAAGCAAGTTTACTTTCATCTTGAGTTTTGAAATTAGCACTGTTTAGACAGAACTCCACAGAAGTCTGGAATTTTGAGAAATGAATTATTTCAATTTGTAGACTGTAGTCTATACTTTCAGTGACCAAGAATAGTGGAAAAGTGGTGGAAATAATAATAAAAAAACTAACAATTAGTGTGTGTTAGCATTATGCTATAGATTTCACATACATCAGTTCACCTACTTCTCACACACACACAAAAAAATTCTGCAATTGGGTGTACTTATCCATATTTTATAAATGGTAAAGATTAAGATTTATATGTGAAGCAAGTTTTGAAAAGGTCTTTCCTGTCTTTCCGTAGCATTAAATAATTTAAGTTTAAATTTGAAATAGATATCAAACATTTCAGGCAATGATTCAAAAATAAGAAATATATTTCACATTGCATCCTATTTCACATATGTATCTAAAAAAATTACTTTCACAAAGTACTATTTACTTTTACCATGAAATGATGTCTTTTAATATTTTTCTATTCTATTTTTTAATGCTATTCACTTATTTTTGTTTTTATATTATTATCCTAGTGCATTAAATTGATTGATGACCCACTGATGGGTTTTGATCACATATTGTGATCACTTTTTAAATCATTTATTTATTTATTTTTCTTTAAATTCTTTGGATGCCGAATCAGATTAAAATTTTATTGAAGGCAGATTTATTGAGGCCATTCATTCTTAAATTCCCTTATTCTCAGAACCTCAATAAATGTTTTGAATGCAATATAATTTTACCTCTGAAAATGCATTATCTTTACTAAATGATAATCCCAGAAAAGGGGGAAAGGGAGGGGAGGAGGTCTACAAGACAACCAAGGCCATTTATAATTACAGCTGATAATATTCCATCAAAAACTATCATTCCTGTCTATTTTATTCAGTTCTTTTCCACCACAGAGTTGGCTTTATTAAATGTCCATAGCAAGACAAATACCTAGCCCTCTCCTTTATCTCTTAAAAATGATCCTCCCACTAGACATATGTAGTTTGAACTGGTGAGAAGCAGTTACACAAATAACACATGAATTGAAGAAGCACATATTTCTTCTATTTCTTTTTAGCTATTTCAGAATCTAAATTTCCATAGGATTCATTCAGATTAGTTTTACATTATAAAAATATCTACACTTTAATTCAAGGATATGATGTAATCAAGACCATGACTTTCCATAACAATTAAAATGTTCTTTCTCTATCTTCCATGTTTGCTTGTTTTTTTATCTTCCCTTATTAACGCATTCAGTCATTAACTTTTTACATTCCTAACAGGAATGCTTCTCATTATTTTCATTTAGGAAAATGATACCCATATGAAATTTGTTTTCCTTATGTTTTCATTGACTGTAAATATAAAATAATTTGTTTATAAAATTTTAGATAAAATTAATTTTCTTTTATTGCTTGTAGGCACTCATATTTTGAATACAACCACTGTATTAATCATTGTGAACCCTTGGTATTACTACAAATCAGAAAAGTAAAAAGAAAAGAGACATCAGATGGAAAAATACGTATTTTAAAGATTCATGTGGGTATCATAAGAATTATATCGAATTGCCTCTTTTGAAAACCATATAGTGAAATCCTTGAAAATTAGGCATATGTTCTTTCAAATGAGACTCAGTTTTGAACAGATGTTCCCTTAGATCTGTTATATTAAGACTAAAATTACTAAATCCGCATTAGTTGTTTTTAAACTTGTTGTTGTTAGGTGCCTTCGAGTCACTTCTGACTCATAGCGATTTTTATTCAAAGCTCCCACAGGCGTCAGTGGAAGATCCATGCATGGAAAAAGGGTGTAATGTGTATCCTACTTTTATTTATTTCATATGTATACAGCAATATAAAATAATATATTACATTTACACTCATTTTACTTATGTATTATTATAGCATTCACAGTAACAAACACTATAGTTAAAATTGAAACTCATCTTTTGTTATAATACCCTGTTTTCACTCACAGATAAACTGTCTCAAAAAAAAGTGTGTTTAGAGCTGAAATTCCCTGCTTACTTTCAGCTCAAAGCTGTAAGGATGTACTGGAAGTCTGAGTTCTATCATACAGAAGTTTTTGAGCCGCCTGTGAAAATTTAATATATTTTGCATCATCAATGCAATATTTTCACACACCTCAAAAACACCTGGAGTGTAAAACTTCAAACTAAGAATGTGACAAGTTTTCAAGAAATAAGTCATTTTTTCTAATTTTTACAAATACTTAAAAAATAACAGTGGTTAGAAATACATGCATGCACACTGAAAGTATTAGAATTTTTGTCATATTATTGCCTGCAATACTCTGGCGGCACCCATCTACTCGCATTCTAATAGAATGCTATAATCTAAAACCTATGCCAAGTTTGAGAAGGAAAAAATACTCTACTGAACAGTTTCACAAATTACTATATAAGGATTTTGTTTGACTTAGCAGAGGGTTAGTCCTTGAAGTACTAACAATATATAAAATAATTTTACTACTCCATGGTGTAAAAAATATGGAATTTTGTCATTTTCTGTTTTTCCTTGTTAAAAAGGAAAATAAAAAGGATGTTAAGTGCAAAGCCTTTACCACTACAAAATTAGAATTGAAAAAGTTAAAGAACCCAAGAAATTACAATATGAAAAATATAAGATTTTCAGAAAAATCATCAAGTGTATCAATGTTTTAAGTATTTTTGAGTTCCTCGGGTATTAAAAGCACACATAGAAATATGAGAGGGGGAGAAAGAAACACACACGCAATGAAGTGTAACACTGCTTATTATCAGTCAACAACAGGAATGATTTTCTTTGTCCTACTTAACATTGGCCACATTCTAACTGAATCATTACATTAAAGATTAATTTAACTCCAGTTCCTAATTTTTGGAAGGTAAAATAGTACAACTAATGCGCAGTTATTAAAGTTTACATAGAAAATTGCAAGGATTTTTTTGTCCTCCTCCTTACTGGAGAAGCAGGAGGGTTTTTACATTACAGAACATCTGACTGCACATTATTAAACTATTATGAAATGAAACAGGAGAGTGAGTAATTAAAATATTTAGATCTTCTACTATAGTACTTAATTTGCAATGTTTGATAAAGGCATTGCATTTAATATCTTCATTAAATGAAATAAACATATTCCTTAATATTTCCCAAGAAAGATGAAACATTTCTATTGTTGACACTATTGTACCTGTAAAGTAATTCTAATGTGATGTTTAAATATTTGATTTTAAATTATTTCACAAAACTGTGTTCACAAGTTAAAAATTAGAATGGTATATGTGGATGAAATATTTCTAAAAATTGTCATTTGACATACCTTTGAAACATTATGACATTGTTTCCACAGGAAAATTTGTTGACTTCTTACTGCTTTAAAACTGACCATGTTAACAAGGAGTAGGTCTCATGATTAGTCTTGTCTGAAATAATGAAAGACTGTCTAACAAGCTGGATATTATTATTCATTGATGTGTATAGAATTTATGGGAGATTGGATATTAGGATGACCAGATTAAATAGAAAGCCTACTCTGAAAGTCCTCGACATACTAATCCAGTAAATGTTTATTTGTAAACCTTCAGTCTTTGTTGATTGTGTTTATCCATTTCAGAGTCCCCTTCATTTGCAAATGACATTTTAGTCAATTTACTCAAATCATCCTTACTTTGTTGTAACTTCTGATTTATTTTTGATTCAATAGAAAGTTGATTAATGACCTAATCATTTATTATTTTATGTTTAAATAATGTTATTTGTCCCAGAAATTTGGTAAAAGTTTGATTTTGTGTGTAATAGATATAATTTGAGCCCTAAAATGCAAATTAGTATAACTAGCTGCTATATTAAAAAGTAACTAATACACAAACATATGGTATAAGAAGGTGCTTTAAGGGAGATTACATACAATAATATGAAGGGCTACATAATTAAGAAAATTTATTTAAATCAAATTAATTAATATAGTCATTATATTATATGTAAAGTAGGTATAACCTTATTTTCAATGGTATGTAATAAGAAAGATGAATGCATATTTTTCCCCATGATTGTAACACAATGCATGAAAGGTTTTAATTAAAGCAGACTGATTCAACAAGAAAATCACTTTCTTGTTTAAAAAGCAATTACAACAAACTATTTTCCAATTAAATTATATAGAAACATTTTCTTAATAAAATAGTCTATTATTCAAAATATTAATGTAGAAATGTCAAAAATTTGATAAAATGCACTTAGGGAACGTATGTGCTTTTTGTATTATATATGATCAATTAATTTTATATATTTTTTAAGAAGCCCATAAGCCTGGAACATTACACATATTATTTTTACATCTAAGCTGATCGGGAGTATGACATATTAACATCTAATTTGATAACGATCTAATGAGTGATGCAAAGATATCACTCATATGTATACATCAAAGACTTCTGAACATACGAATGCATTTTAATGTTACAACTAAAGTAAAATCTTACTTAAATTACATAAAATTAGATGGAAGCATTTTTTAAGTATTACATTTTAGTCTATTCTTCAATAACATAGCACAGTTCAATCAATCATTGAACATAATAAATCAATTAAACTTAGAGAAACATTTCAAAATAGGCCGGTAATTTAGGCTGGACAAACATTTAGATGTAATGTTGAAGGCTTTTTAAAGGGGAGCTGTGATGATTTTGTTCTTTGCTTGGAAAACTGTCTTACATTCTCTGATCTTTCTCTCTCTTACTGGTGTTTCAACAAGCAATCAACAGTTAAAAAAAAGAAAAAGAAAAATATATAAAAGAAAAGAAAATGCATCTCACTGAATTTAATAATCTGTCGACATAAAAATAAAAGGAAATCTTTACTTTTCAAGGCTGAGACTCATGAAGACTTTTCTCATTAATAAAACACTGACTACATTTAAGCTATTAATGTTCACACATCAGATAATACTGAAACAATAGTGTACCATGTTTCTATCTTCAAATTTAATTAATTTATTTTAAATTTAGGGATCCTTTATATCTCATAGTTTTTCTTTATCAGTTCAAATATTTATATATCTCTATATATTCATATAGAGTTATAAATAGATTTTATATTCATGTGTAATTAAGAGGCACAAAACTATGTAAAACTATGTAAAATAAAATTTTGTGTGAGTTATATGATTGAGGACTTTTTAAAATAGTAAACTTCAATTACATACTTTACACCACAAAATGCACAAACACCCAGTGTTCTTTTTTTGTTTTTTGTTTTCTAACAACATATACAGGTGAGTTTATAGATTCTTTATAAAAGTTTTAAGTGAATCTAAATTCAAAGCCATAGAAATAGAATCGAAATAATGTAGATTGTAAGATATTTTGATATTACATGTTTAGTGCTCATTCTGATAACATCGACAGCTACATCTTTGGCATTGAAAATTCAGTAGGAGTTCTTGACAAAATTTTGTAGCTTAGAGCGTCATTTGCTTTTAAACAAGGAAAAACAGGGTTGACTAGGATATGAAAGCTGGAAGGAAACTATTAATGATTTTTTTTTTTCTCAGTAAGTTTATCTTTGGGACCCTGAATTACCTTTTACTTTATTGTATGATGTGGACTGTATGAATCCATTTAAAAACCAACTAAGTTGTACCACATTTTAGGAAAATTATATAATATAATATATATATTTTATATTTATTTAGAAGCTTTGAAATAGTACAGTAAACACTTTGCAACACGGTGTATAAACTACAGAATGTCTTTGATATTTTTGTAGGTCTTCAGAATACAACAATTTTTATAACCCACAGGTGAAAAGAACATAATCACAATCTCTCTTGTAAAGTTGGAATAGTTTGGGGAAAACTTGATCACACAAAAATAATATAAAACAGTCAAGTTTAAAACAGTGATATTGCATTTATAATGCACAAATTTCCTTTATCTTTATGACTGGCTTCTCGTGGTGAATATAAACATCTAAAGGGCTCAGTGACATTTGGAAAGAGAAAGATATATAGTGCTGTAAACAGGCACACACTGATCAGAGAGGCAAGGTCAGTTGCCTCTAAAGTTTCTACAGTTCTGCACATTCCAACTCATTTCTCAGGCCTGCTGAGAGCAATTAGGTCCTAAAATTGGCCACGATGGCTCCGCCAGCAATCTAATACTCGGCTGCACAGAACTAACTGGATGGCCAAGATAATGAAGTTGAAAAGTTGATGCTTTTGTTGGTCGACTTTGTGCAAATCATGCTGCTTCGGGTAAGTACTGTAGAATTGACTAGCATATCCTTTTCCGCGCTGTGAAAAAGAAAAAACAAAAAAAAGGCTCTAAGGAAAAGAGGCTGACATTTGAAGTTTAGAAATGCACATCATTCTAAGAGAGACAAATACAACTGGAACGAGTTGTACCCCCACACCTGATCTATGTAGTGTCAAAATATTTCAGTGCTACCTTGATCTTGAGTAATCACGCTGTTATTTGTTATCGACATTTGTATGAGTCAGTTTTACATGGGAAATGTGTATTTTATATACAAAACATCAATTATGTGGAGATTAGCTTTTTAAAAGTATCTGCAAAACAATCCCTACTTCGCTATTTGTATATGATAATTGCACATACATACTAGTGTTTCAGAGTTGAAGCTAAAGAAATAGGTAATGAGCACTCACTTATTAATAGACCCAATAGCTTCCTTTTGACTCATTAACAGCAATATGCAAAGTTACTCTTCTGAAGGTGTTGGTAGCAATTCTGTTATTCTGTTACAGCTCTGATGTGGTGCAATCAGGGACATAGCCAGGGTAGAGTCCTTATTACCTTCAACAATGACTTCATCATTTCAGTGCTTCCTCCAAATTCTTTCCAGGAGAAAAACATGTCACCCTTTATATTTCTATAACAAGTCTTTAGAAGAATCTATGAACAATTTACTATGTATTTAATTTAATAAAGTCTAAATTATATGCATCAAAACAGTATAAAATAGAGAAATAAGTGTATGAAAAGATGTTCATGTAGTTCAAAAAATTTAAAGCTTGTTCAAATTTTCTAGGTTTATTTTATTTCATTTTTTGCCTGCAGAATTAAAAATATGTAAATTTATCCCCTAAAAGGGATCAATTTTCTCATAAAGAGGGCAAAGTCAAAGTGGAGAAAAAGATATTACTAGTTTTTCTCTACTGTTACAAAACATATAGAACTGTAAATCAGAATTGTCAGGATTCAATTGTTCAAATGTTTCGATTTCTGGGTGTTTCATTTATTCACAGTGAAAAGGATATTTCTTCTCACCTACCCATAATCTACATAATATTTGTGTGCATAATGAAAGCAGAAACTATAACCTCTAAATTAGTATTTGACATATAATAGGTTTATAATAAAAATGTTCAATTGATGTAACAATCACATATCATATATATGTAAATCTCTTAAAAATTAAGAACTATGATAAGTAGTATAACTCAATTGTTTTAATCTGGCCAATAGTTGCTTTTCTTTTTTACCAGATGGAAGAACATGTTCATTAGTTCAATCATTTTCCCATGGTGTATCCAATCATTTCAGGTAGATTACCTAGTTGTTTATTTTCCAATATTGTTTTCTCTGATATTCTCTTTATCATTTTTCATCACAAACTCAGTTTTTGACCAAAATAATCAAATATTTTGGCACAAATTTCTATTTTAGCAGGGACACCAACATTAAAATTATAAATCAAGTGCCATCATTGATAGAAATTAAAGTTAAAATAATTGTTTATATACGTACTTTGTATAACCAGGATTAAACAAAATCAAAACATTTTGTTTTATAATGTCATATAATATCATGGATTATGAGTAATGGTAGCCAACAGTTATTGAGAATTTATTATGATAGTTTCAAAGCAGTTAAGTACCCAACCTCTAAACAAAAGGCTGGCTGTTCAAACCCACCCAGAGTCACCTCAGAAGACAGGCCTGGCGATCTTCTTCTGAAAGGTCACAGCCTTGAACATCCTGTGGGTCTTTTCTACTCTGCACACGTGGGGTCACCATGAGTCTGAATCGATGGCAACTAACAACAACAACATGATATAGGACCACATGGTAGCTATTAAAATTCAGCTGGTTATAATGCTAAAGAGAATGTCTAATAAGGAAACAGAAACTCTGCTCTCTGTGTCTCTTAAACGAATTAAATCCTATTATCTTATGCTCTTAACTGAATTTCCGGTTTCATTAAAACTTGAATTAAATGATTTCAAATCTATTTTGTTTTTACCAATCAGAATTAAAAATTTTTTAGTAAATTAAATAGTTAGCCACCAAAGCAACTGAGGTTTATAAAATGAATTGGAGCAAATAATGATGGAGACCTAATAAGGTACAGTCGAAACTGGATGACACATTTGTGAGTGAAAAGGAACACTCTTAATAACACGCCAGACATAATGTTATACTGTCCTAGACAATCCAAGAAATATGGTCATCCTACAAATAATTCTACCTTTTTCACAATAAGTTGGAAATATTATTTACAATTTGATACTTTTAATAGTACAAATCAGAAAATGCTGATTTATGGAGAACATCATTCGAGTAGTTCAAGGGCAAAAGAAACTCAGGAGTGATCACTCAAACTATAAGCTAATTAATTATGTGAAAAATGAATATACTAAAAAAGCTACATCTTAGTATAAAAGCAGAAATTAGTTAACACATGATTTAAATCAGTAAAATATCATTTCTAATTAGGTTAAAAGATTACCTATGGGAAAAACTATGGGCACAGACGTTGTATGTTCATTTGATTTAGTCAGGAGACAAAAATATATTCAGTGATTGAAGCAGTTAATTGTCATAAGAACACAGGAAGTTTAGCATATATTATATTAAATATCATAAATATACATGTAAGCTTCAAAGGCATATTTTGATTCATCCTTAAAGTTACATGTGTGTTGCCTTTAAACTCCACATATTTCGGTAGTGCTCTGAATAATATAATCACCTTTTATTAAGTTTACCTCTCACCTATTAGTGAATTCAGGAAGGCAAATCCGAATAGGACAAATATAAGAGTGGCATTTGAAGGTCAGAACAAATTAGAACGGGGAAGGATGATTTCTTCTGTTTCTGAGGCTAATCCCATGCATCTGAAGTGCTGTCAGGCAACTAGAGAAAATGGAATATTATTTCCAAAGCTATCGTCACATCCACTTTGTTTCAAGACTTTTAAAAAGTGAGTTTGAATACTAAATAATCATTATTCCTTTGTGACTGTATGGGTTAACGTCGTAAAAATCGTAGGCAGATATAATCCAAGAAAATGGATCAATGTGATTATATTTTAGAGGCATTGACTCTAATAAATTATTCCATAGTTTTAAGTAATATGATTGTACTTTACCTGAAGCATTTTAGACTGTAGAATGGGTCAAATATATTGAATCTCTATGATTTCTCCTCCAGTCTATATATGCTTTGGAATTATCAAAGACATTTGGAAATTTTCCTTTCCTTTTTATTTCACAAATGCATTTTTCCCCTTGCTATGCATCAGCACATGTAGGGAGTTGGTCACTTGGTGTGGATGAAAGGTTTTGTTTTGAATCAAACCTAAAAGTAATAGGAAAAGGACTGCTTGCGTTTCTTTCTAACTTTATGTCTTTATTCAGTCGATGTATTTTCATAGTGAGCCACAGAAATGTTAGATTTAAGACACTTATCTTAATGACTGAATTATAATATGAAAAATCATTCATAAAGACAGACAAATACTCAAATATCTACCTTTTTATAATTTAGAGTATGTATATTTTTTAAGAAAGTTCATGGTGTATTACATTTTTCTTTATATTGTAGAATCCTGTTATTGTCTTTGATAATTTGCAAAGTATGATATTTGCTGTGGAATACTGAAAAATCTCGATTAACTAATGACTGAAGAAGAATAAATGTAATATGCCTACTGAAAAAAATAACTGTAAAAGTATCAGCACTGGTATATTATTTATACCATAAAACTGCCTGCTGAAGAATGATTTTACATGATACGTTAAAATGTTAATTAATAATTTGAATATTCTCATCCCCATACTTTCATAGCAGGAAGTAAAATACCCTTTAGACTTTATGACAGTAAAAGCCACAGAAGCTGAAGGGATAAATTAATCTTGTGAAGTAATCTAATACATTTCTTCGCCTGAAAGAAAGAGCAGCCTTTAAACATCCTAGATGATTGAGACTCTCCACTACAGTGAAAAACTTCCAGAAGCTGAGATCAGTAACCTACTCTGGAGCTCATTCAAATGTTTAATGAGCCTCACAGTCAGGACACTTCTTTATATATAAAATGAATCTAGCATACAAAGTTTGAGCCCATTGCCCCCTGTGGAAGTCAGAAACACCTGCTCTCTGTTCTCTGTGTAAAAGCATATCATAAACTTAAAGACAGTTTAAAAGTAAGTCTCCGTCAGAGATGTGTCCAGTTCAATAATCAGTTCTTTTTAACTTCCTGCTGTCTTATCCTTGAACCATTTTTGAGAATTTTCTTTAAAATCTCTCTAAAGATTTTTTTTTTTAATGTTTAACCGTAACATACAGATATAAGCATAGTGCCTTTAACTATGAAAGGACAGTATCACCTTGATTTGCTTTAACCTTCCCATTTGAACAACCTTATATTTGCATTACTTTTACAAATATAGTTGCATATTGTTCAGATTGTAAATTATTTTTCCTCCTCACAAAAATTATGAAGATATTAAATTTAAATGTATGTATATATAATGTATATATACTGACATATATACTGAAAAAACTAATTACATGTTGTGCTATATTCTGGATTATAAAAAGACAAAAGCCTAATATTAGTAATTTATGTATAGTCTTTCTGCCCAATAATAATGTTTTAGTGCAGCATAAACTTCTGAGTTACGTTTGTTTCATAATGTTCTCACTATCCTCTTGCTATATATACATTTTTTATTTCTTCAAATAGTATGCATTTTTATTCTACCTTGACAGAGTGAAGGGGGAAACAAGAAATTTGTTTGGAGAAGGCGGTTCCCATATATGAACTTGATTAATCATTTAGAAAGGAAACTCTGTGAGATAAATGACTCAAACAATCCTTCAGACCGTAAATGTAAGAAAAATGTAGTAAAGCCAGTGCTTACTTTTAGTTCAGTCTATGTGCGTGTGCTATACTTACAATATAGTTTGCAATTAATAAATGTTTAGAAATTAAAATATAAATTCACATATATTTTAAAAGATAAGAAATTTGGCAAGTGTAGTTTCAT